TAACTACGTACGTACGTACGTACGTACGTACGTACGTACGTACGTACGTACGTACTACGTACTACGTACGTACGTACGTACGTACGTACGTACGTACTCTCTCTCTCTCTCTCTCTCTCTCTCTCTCTCTCTCTCTCTCTCTCTCTCTCTCTCTCTCTCTCTCTCTCTCTCTCTGCAGAGTTCCCTTGTACACTAATCTACAGCACTCCAATATGGCTCATTCCCCAAACCCCTGAATGCCTGATGCTTTTGGGCCTCCTCTTCGGCTCGCACTTCTTCGAGTTAACACTTCATAAACCCGGAGACGGATTTTTCCTAGCTCTCTTAACTACTCTTCTCACCTCTACGGTAATATTGAAATTTATGAATGCACCTCTACCTTTTTAGTCGACCCCAAATAGCTGGAAAATTTTCTAATGACTATAATGAATGCACTTTTGCCTTTTTTCACACCACACCACACCCACCCACCCCCTTCTCATCTGTTTTTCTTATAGGGATATTAATATTTCGTCTATTTCTTTTGATTTAAATCCAAAATGCCTATAACAAAAAAACATGAACCTGTCTAGGAGATCATGACCGTGTCTTTTAATGGCCATTTTAAAATTTAAATCCAAAGAAATAAATAAAATGTTAAACACTCAGTCATTAATGCGTATTTTCATAAATTTTTCTGTATAAAACAACAAATACTACACAAATATCATCTGAATTAAAAAAAAAAACAGCTGATAGAATGATTCACAAAAGAACTGGTGTTAAATTTCAGAGATGGGTGATAATCAAGATTATGGAATGCTACCTAAGATGGAAGCTCCCCTTAAAGAAGAATGGCTTCCAACCCAAACACAGCTTTCAACAATCAATTTCAGCATGTGTTTTTGCAGCCTGCCCTCAGCATTTGTTCAGTAGAGTAGAAGAGGGGAGCATTTTCCTAAGAGAGTCTTCAAACTGGAGTTTTTGTGAAGGGGGATTACGTTTCGAAGATGAATCGAGGCCGTTGGATGTGGACCTAGTGATCCTAGCCACAGGTTCCAAAGGCGACGAAAAGTTGAGAGACTTGTTTGTATCACCCAAATTTAAGGACTACATCATGGGTCCGGCTAATGGAATAGTTCCTCTATACAGGTCAGTGATAAATACTGTATTTTGGTAAATTATGAAAGTAATTTTAGGATCCTTCATGGCGAATGACTATCGTATGGGTTTAACTAAAGAATATATATTTGTATGCTATACTATAGACCCGTGTTGGAAAGAGCAACCCAAGACCGGTGCTTGGCCCAGAGGGGAGTACTCGGGCCGAGTTGGGCTAAGTTCTGGCCGAACCAAAAAGTTTTAAAAAGAATTAAAAAATACAAAAAAAATCCTAAAATTATATGTTTAAAGTAAAATTAAATAAAACACGTCCAAATGAGGTTAGAAAAATAGTGAAAAAATAGATTTTAAAAAAATCAATTTCTGCCAGGGGTATTTTAGAAAAAAAAAATATCAATCTTTCACAAAATTATAAAAAACATAAAAAAAACATATTACAAATAAATTTCTTTTCTTTTTTTTGAATTTTTATAATTTTTTTAAGATCCCCAGGTTGAACCATCCAACTTGAGATACTCGGGAGTGTCCGATTTGGCTCGGCCCAGTAATCATATAAAACAACTCTATGCAAAGTACCAATTAGGGTTTTTTATCATTTTAATTTTTAAATTCGTTTCCTTTTATAAATAGATAATATTGCGAGACTATTTTGTTTTTAGTACAAGAGGGCCACATCCTTGGCCGTCAAATGAATCTAATACAAAGGTGATCATGTAGTTCGATAAATTTCAGTTTGGATTTTAAACAAGCTTAATGGGACATCCCAAAACCAGCTGGTTTTACATGGAAATGCTAAAATTGATTGTGATCTCTTTATATCAAAGACAAATAGTCTTACTGTATATTTTTCCTACCAGGTGCTTATACTACAAAAGTAAGGTGCATCAAAAAAATCCACTTAAAATGGATGTTCTGGTAAAACTCTTACGATGGCCAAAACTCTATTTTGGAAATTTAGAGTTCCAAATATATTGTTGCATATCTAGATCTCTAAACACTTAAAAATCTTAAAAATAGACGATCTAGATAAATATGACATTATTTTTAGAACTTGAAATCCATTTTCCTTTCATATCCATACATCTTGAGGTTGAGATGATCAATTGTATAGTTTTTCCGCATCGAAACCACTTTTTTAGATGAGACGCACTTTAAAATTGACAATGTATACAAACTTTTTCCTTACCTTTATATTTGCTCATATATATATTGTCAAGATTTCAACAGGCGAGCTCCTATCATTAGTGTCATCGAAACAATCCACATGAAAAAAAACAAAAAGCCCTTTTGTTATTTGTTCTCACTCCATACACGTGAGCCTATGCAAATCTTTTGGCAATTGTTCCGACTCTATACTCCTGTGTCCATACAAATGAGTTTAACTCTATCTGTTTGTGTACTACTGTTATAGTGTCCCTCCTCTAATGCAATACATTCTCTCTTTCTTCTTAGGGAGGTGGTACACCCTCGGATTCCTCAATTGGTGGTGATCGAATACTCAGAGGACGTATCAAATATGTACATGTCCGAGATGCTGAGTCGATGGCTATGTCATTTTATCGATGGTAGTTTTCGGCTTCCACCCATAAGGGAGATGGACGAAGAGATCAGGAGGTGGGAGAAGCACAGGAAAACCTATGCTGGAAAATACTACAGTAGATCCTGTGTGGCCTCTCTCCACATTTGGCACAATGATCAGTTGTGCAGGGACATGGGTTGTAGTCCTTGGAGAAAGAAGGGATTGTTATCAGAGAGCTCTTTAGCCCTTATAGTATCATGGATTACCATAAACTGTGAATTGATGAACATTGAAATCTTAGTGCAAGGTGATACACATTGAAGTTATTGAAGATTATGAATCAGATACAACATTAAAATTAAGAACAATTTATGAGTAGTGTTAGTAATGCTCTCCTGGGTCTATCACAGTGTGCAACTCATTATTTATTGAAACCAATTGTCACTTGAACTAACCCCTGAGAACACAAAGAATGAATAGATTTTGGCTTGCATAATTTTGGCTTGCATTTCATTCTAAGGCTTTATATTGTATAACCTAGTTGGGTGATGTTTTGGACTTGAGACCATCCGCATAGGTGCTGCCATAGGTATCAACACTAGAACAAACCTGCCGGTCTGGTTTGTATAACATTGCAACTTTATTTGTGAAAACAAAGTTGCGATACAATATCTATTTTAGTAAGACGGTGTAAATTTGATACATCATAAAAAGTAACATTGTCTTTTAAGATGGTGTCAAAATCTATATCATTCAATTAAAATAGATAATATAGATTAATGCAATTTTACTTCTACAACCTATCATAAAAGATAAAATAATAATAATGTTACAACCTCATATAAACTTTTGATTGACTAGGAAGCGATACTCTGTTTCTTTCCATACTCTCATTTATAGACACACTCACCGACCCACCCTATTTTATTCATGTTCAGCGTGGGACTAATCCATTAACTTCTTTACATCGTGAGATACATCAATGAAACTGAGAAATAATGAATCACATAAGAATTTAATGAAAAAAATATTGACAGATCACTAGAGAGAACTAAGAGAGATATCAAATAAAAAAAGTCATATGGAACAATGAAGTTTCTCCGGAAAACCTCCAAGAATACAGTAAGAACATACTGAGAGGTGGTTGGGTTTTTGCAATTTTCTCTCTCTATGCCCAAACGCTCCCATCAAACCGAGTCCTCTTTTTTGCTCTTCTTTCAATGCTCTCTTTCTCTCTCTTGACCCCTCTCTCTCACATCAAACCGAATTTAACTATTTTTGCCTTGGCTTCTCTCGTGCTTGCCGTTTGTTTCTTCTAGATCATCATTGTCTTCATCTATTTTTAAATTACTCAATGTCCTCTTTCTCTCTCTTCATTCTAAGCTCTCTCTTTCTCTCTCTTCAACAACCTATTTTAACGAATTACTTTCCACTCTCTCTTTACATTTATTTGCCTTTGTAATGGCGATTTAAATGACAGGATCATGACAGAAGGGTGGTGAAAAAAGGGGTCAAATGAGACAACCATGGTAAGGGAGGAGAGTAATGATAAAGATAGACAGAGAAAGAGAGACATTACTAAGTAAATAAGGCTTTAGGTAAAAATGTTTAGTCCCACAGTTATGAAGTAGAAAAGAATGAGCATGCGAGGCTATAAAACGAGTGGTGAGAGATAAAAAAAACCACTCGATATATGTGAGCGCGCGAATATCCTCAATTTGATCATCTTAACATCAAAATGGATTGCATTTTTGGATGGTCAATTTTTAAGATTATCAAGTTTTTGCATTTTTTGGATGGTCAATTTCTAAGATTATCAAGTTTTTATAGATATGTTGATCTACACTATTTTTGAAGTTTTAAATTTTATTAATAAAGATGAAAATATATTTTAAAGCTAATCACAAAAATTTTCAGTATTGATAGTAGTTTTTAATTTGATTGTTTAGAGCTTAGGCTCTATTCAAACCACACCCTTAAACTATATATAATCACAATATATACATTATATAGAGTATATAATATGTTCTAATATATACATTATATAGAGTATATAATATGTTCTAATATATACATTATATAGTGTATAATATGTTCTAATATATACATTATATAGAGTGTATAATATGTTCTAATATATACATTATATAGAGTATATAATATGTTCTAATATATACATTATATAGAGTATATAATATGTTCTAATATATACATTATATAGAGTCTATAATATGTTCTAATATATACATTATATAGAGTATATAATATGTTTTAGCTGATTAAACTTGATCCAACCCATTATATTCAATGGTTAAAAATGATTGTGATCTCTTTATACTAAAATTAAATAATCTTATAGTATATAATCCCTTCACATTTTATCCATTTGTTAAAATTTAATTCCAAAATATCAATCAAAATAAAAACAGTAAAAAAAAGGCAAATCATTAAATACTATCTCTTCTATATGCATGCCTCAAGGGTAGTAATTTTAATTATCAAGAAAATACCCGATATACAATTTCAATGCCCCACAGTCAACAATTACGGTGATAAGCCTTAAGCCTTATGTCCACCAGTGTTGACTCAAGTAGGAAATGTCTTATTTCTACCACCCATTTGTTTTGGAATGGAAAGTGGAGATGAACATGTATCATACTGTTGGAGAGTTTGTAGGCAAGCATTCCTTTATGTATCATCTATGATACCTGTACTATAAGTATACAACTTCGATCATAGGGATCAATCTCAGGTCGCGTAGCTTCATAATAATTCTATAAAGCTTCCGCATAATTTCCTTCAGATTGAGCTGACATCCGTTACAGTCGTTCATTCCATTCAAAGGATATCCGTTCCATAACCATACGTGAGATTTCCATCTCATACGGGCTCCTCCCCTTCTATGCATAGTAATAAGGGGAATAATGTATGGAATCAAAAAATATTCTCATGATGTTATAAACTGACAAGGGCTGGTGTTTTTAATAAGCAATTTTTTCAAGTGTGATTAGGGAATTTAATTTTGAAATCCAACTCTACAGAGAAAAGGTGCAGTGCCAATCAAACATTACGTATTCTGAAAAATGAAATTCTGTAACTTAGTATTTATTTTCGGGATTCCGCTTCATTTGAAAAACACTTTTCTGTTATCAGAATGTGTCTTTTCATGAAGTTATTTTCCCTTCTTGTTTTCTGCTTTGTCATTGAAAGCAGGACCAGTTAACCAAGCAACCCATTGTAACACCATATTTCAGTGCATAAAAAGTACAAATCTCGATCACGGGGATCGCAAGATTAAAAAGATGAAGAGAAGGAGAGCTAAAAAGAATGCTCATACGTACAATCATTTCTCAAACTATTATCAAAACAGCAGAAAATATGAATTCAGCACCACTTCCAATCCTTCCTATTTAACAGAAACACAACAAAAGACCGATGAATCAATTGACATGCCTGATTCATAGAACTGCACTCGCTTTGGGTGATTCCACCCATCGAGTATGACAACCTTTATGGGACAGAGATGAACCGGGATTGTATTACATGGCATCTTTCTGGTATTTACAAGGTTAATCACGTAGTTAGCAAGGTTAACCAACCTCAGTAAGGAAAAGAATATCAATCCCTTGGCATATTTCAGAAGGGGAAAAAAAAAATCTCTTGGTTCTCATTTTCAAGCAGCTCAGGTCATGACAGATGAACCCCCATAGTTGCAGTGAGGTTGGTTTATTGCATTAGCTTCAATGAATGGTTAGCAGATGATTGATTACCAATAGAACCCAAAAAGAGATTGAAAAGGGAAGCGAAAGAAGGCAAGGCTTCTTGCAATGCCCATTCTTCCTGAGCCATCTGTCTCAGCCTCCTAGTGGCCTTTGCTTATAACCATGCTTCTGCCTCTTCAAGAGCTTCTCCTTGTCCCTACTGGACTTTTCCATTCTGGCTCTCTCTTTCTCAGCATGTTCTTTGTCAAATATTAGGTTACAATACACTTCCCCAGTAAGGGGCCACAGCCACATGCTACCACGACTACTGCTCAGGGGATGGTCATCATCGCCAGCCTCCTCTGCCCAGTCCTCGTCCATCTCCTTCAACAGCGTGGAGTTGAAGTGAGTGACCCACATTGATCCAATTCGCTTCTGTATCGGATGCTGCTCCTCAAGCAAACCTGAGATGGGGTCTATGTAAACCATCTTTCTCGCACTGTGGTATGCCCACACATTCACCAGAACTTCCAAAATACGGCAGTAACATTGCCTTTTCTGCAAATATAACACAATTTTTTTATGTTTCACAAACCAATGAACTCAAGCTTGTAATAATATGTCCATGTCTTTCAGCCCCTAACACAGACAAAGGCTTAACAACCATACCTCTATCTTTGAAGATCCCAACAAGCATCTACTGTAGTTCTCAGGATTAAGTCTCTGGCTATCCAGCAGGGAACTAGTGAACATCCTGTGATTGCATAAACATTATGTGTCTGGATCATGCATGTACACCAAGCACAAAAAGCCCCAAAATGTGAAGTTCGTTATATCTGGTTTGGGGAAAAGCAATCTCACCGTGAGAACATCACAAATTCGAGAAAGGAACGTGTTGGCATGGCCCAACTGTGAAGGGTAGACCACTGATCACCGTCCCTTGGCATTGGGGGGAGGGTTGCCATGTTCGATGGCAAAGCATACATCAACCTGAAGGCCTCTGCAAAAGCAGTCCTGACACATCCCAAGAAAATAAGCTAATACAAAATGTAATACATTGAACAAAATAGTTATCTCTAGAGGCCCTACAAGGGACAATGTGTTCAGCTTCTGCAAAATACAAATAAATAAGAAGAGCATCCTATTATGATTAACAACATTCACGAGGACTACCAATAGACGGTAAAAGAGAGTGCATCCAACTTGTGGGACTTCCCATGAATACTTTAATTCATCTGCAAAATGAACTTCCAAGGAAACTAAATAAATCCAGGACAAAAACTTTTAGAAACTAATAGCTCTGGTGATATACAAACACAAGATTGTCATGAATTTATCATGACCTCACCATCAACCATCTTCATTTTCATAGTCATAACATTTTCATCACCTGTCACACCTGTATTTTCAGGTGATTAGCTAAATTTGTGGCTCCATTTGGCTTAACCACTATGTGAAGGCACCAAACCTCATCCATACCATACACAATGATTATTGAGACTTTGATTTTATCTGTTCAATCTCAAGAAATAAAGCACAACCACAAGCACAACTGGGTATGTAGATAGCAAATATTCATACTTGAGAAGTAAAAATTTAAAAACAAGGAAAAATGCAATCCTAAAACGTGTATCACACTAAAACTGCAATGGGAAAAGAATGTCCTTTCAGCAGAAGAACATTATTTTTTATCCTACTAGTAACTTCCTAACACAAGATCTCTAGATTTTAAGGTTTCATGGGGTATTTTTCAAATTCAGTAATGTATTTTCTGCGAATGATTGGTATTATTTGCTCCAAGAATTGGACAGACACAAGCAAAAGCTAGAAGACATTGCTTTAGAGAAGTGTAACCAACTAGTGGAAATAAAGGAAAATGGGGACTGGATAGAAAGAAAATGCCCTGACACACAGGAAAACCAAAAATTCCCAATAAAATAAAATCCAGTGGATTACAACACATTGTAGAAATGTCTTGCAAATATATATCCCAGACCAGTTCATTATCAAAGTAGATAACTATATATCTATGTAGATGGGCTAGTAACATCAGGGACTAGTAGCCCATACTTAATTCCCCAGAACTACTTTGAAAAAAAAACTCCATACCGTTTTAGTTGAAGGAAAAAGCCAAAAAGGATTTTCCATGAGATGGACGTTAACATAAACAATTGAAGGAAACACTGAATTGTACGAGCCAATTGTGACCATTTACCTGCAATGCCCAGCACTTAAGAGGTCACAGATGGACCAAAAATCAGGATTTTTATGCTTCACTTCCAAAAGATAAGTGTTGGCCATGCTTGCCCAAAAGTAGATAGCATCTCCTTCAGTTTTTCCCTGAATAGTTTCCTCCAATATTCGCTCAGCCTTAGTGGATAGAGACACCTGCTTCAAGGAGAATAGGCACTCGCAACATAAGTATAACAAGTAATAATAGTTATATTAATGGAAATAAACTAACTACTAAGAAAGTTATCTCCACAAATTGGTCATTATTCCTGATCTACTTATTCTACTACAATATCTGTGATAATCTCAAATAACTTCTTTTAGATCCCAGTTCATAAATGTGCTTTCCCAAGCATTTATCCTATCCTCAATCAGACAAGACTCAATCCACTTTTAGTTTTTATTTCCAGTTCCATCCTAAAGCTAGAGCAGGAAATATTTCACGCATAAATAAGTTAGTGTAGCTCTCATGTTCACCATCCCTTAAACAGAAGGAAAAGTTTTATGTGAGTCAGCGGACGCAATTGCCCACTGACACTCAAATTTCCATCTTTAAAATTAATGCTATGAAAACAAATTTGACCACAACATTAAACCCATCTTAAAGATGGATGTTATGAAAACAAAAATCACCATTTCATTATTCTTCTTTTCTTTCTTATATCTTCATGATTACCTTAATCCTAGATCATGAATGCTTAAACATTTGGATCAATATTCCATCTTTAAGATAGATTTTAGAGGGGGGATGCATGTGCACATATGAGTCAGCTGACTCATAGAAACCCCACCCTAAACAGAATAGGGTCCAAAGCATACATTATATGAAAAGCGAAAGCTGCTAAAATAGGGACAATGAAAGGTTAAATTGAAAGGCACAAAAGAACCCTCATAGAAAGAAGCAAAGCACATCAGGGCAAACATAATTGTATCCGACTATCAAATAAAAGTATAAAACAAACAGTTTGGGAATGAATTAAAGGATAAACAAAGAATTATATGTGAAATGGCACAATATTACAAACTTCTTTACATAAGAAAGATACTGGCCTAAATAAATACTATGCAACACTAAATCATACACAAAGAGCCAGGAAGAATTCAGAAAGCAAAAGGCAAAATATGTCAAGAGAAATCTAGAGAACAAAAACGACCAGCTCCTATTAAGACTGCAAGAATACAAATACCCACAAATGATTGAAGGGTTAAACCCCACAAGTGTTGCATTAATCTTGGTGATTCTGAGAACCTAAGATTGTATTAATGTTAGACCAACAGCAATAAATTCAACTCACATGGTAATTCTAGATAACATTCAAAATGTCAGCAACTATAGAGTTTCACAATAGGGGGGAGTAAAATGAATTAGTACACACTAAATATTACATAAATTAATAACCGCTAAAAGTTTGTTGAGATTCCAAACTTTCCTACCTAAAAGAAAACAAAGTGGTTGTAAGATTAATAACAGTAATTTTGTCTAGTGGTACAATGTGAGTGTATAGAAACCAATTCTCTTGACTTGGACTACAATGAAGAGAACAGGATCTCCATTGTATTAAGATAGATATGTTCAAATGTGTAATGCATCATGACCATGAGAAGTTAATCGGAGCTCTCGGGTGCCCGGTTTACAGCCTCAGGTCTTAGCTATGTATCATTGAGTGACATGCATGCCACAAAATTGAGCCAATTCATCATCAACAGGTGGGAAGTCAAGCATCTAATGATACACACTTAAAACATGGAAGGATTTGTAGAGATCTAAAGATCAAAACAAGTGGAAAAACATAGAAGAAAACTAGGGTTTTAAAACACAAAACCGGTTCAATTGAGTTCACAATGTGGCTCACAAAATTCCGGCATAGTCTCCTCTATTAAAACGAACAATTTAAGGGATTAAAAATAAAATCTAAGTGACTGATATGATCATAAAAATCTCAGAGAAATATGAGTCAAAATTACTTCAAAATTCAAAGAAATTAACTCATGGAAAACTATGTCAAAATGTGGATGGATGAAGCCTTTGACTATATGAATTAAGGGAGATCAATGAATACTCAAAATATCAAAGATCTAATGATCTAAGCATGAAGAGATGTTGTAATTGAGAATTTACAGCAAGGACAAACTAATTGGATCAATGAAAATAGAAAAGATCTTACTTAATTATTGAAAGTTTAAAGACTAAATCATCCATAGCTTGAATTGGAGCTTTGGATCACAAATAATGGAATATTTTAGGACCTTCAATGGACCTTTCTCTCACCTTAATTTGAAGAAGGATATTTAGAGAGAGAAAGGAAGAGGGAGACTTGCTTTGGGCATGCCATACAATTGGAGAAGAGCAAGGTGCGTGCCATGTTTGCAGGGAAAATTTGTGAAGTAAACTTTTATGAGAAAAAAAGGCTCAAGGAGGTGTTTATAGCATCTTAACCCTCAAGTGTGAGGATACTTCTAGATGAATGAATCTTGGCCCTCCATGTAATTTACTAATGCCTACAAAGAGAAGCTTGATCCTAGCCCACCATCCACTATCAAGCCATTAAGATATGTGTTATGCATTTAAACACCTTTATCATCTTTTAATTCACTCAAGTTTCCCTTGTTATTAAAATACCCTCTTTACATTTAATAAAACTAAAACCAAGGTGGATGGTATACCCTAATGGTAATTAGTCAAATATTCCATCAAAAAACAAATCTCAAAATTCCCTCTATTTTATAAGAGCAAGTAGGGCTAATAAAATCACCTCATAAACTAGGTGGTTAATTGCACATGTACTACCCTTAGTGTTAGGCTTGCAATTACAAACTTTATATCCCTTCTAGAACCCTCCACACATGTGCACAAACCCCTTGCTTTCATCATTTAACATGTGCCAAAATAGTTTAGAAAAAACTTAATATTTCACAAAATATCACAAATTAATATCCTTAAGTTAAAACAACAAAATGCAAAACAACAAAGGGGTCCCTTGTGGGGTTGACGTCACCCCAGTGTATCAAAAAGCGCTAGGCGGGTCCTAGGCGGCCACCTAGCGCTTAGGCGGCCGCCTAGGCGGCTGCTCAGTTGAAAAAAAAGTAAAAATCCCAATATACCATATTCCAAGTTAAAAAAAGAAGAAGATAGAAGTCGAGAAGAGAACTTTGATAATCCATATTGTTAATACAGTAAACTGTAAAACCATACAAGTGTAGGATATAAAAATCAACACTCTAACACAACAGAAATTTATAGAAATTTAGAAAATATACAGTCTAACAAAAGTCAACACTTATGACTCAACACAACAGTCAACAGACTCAAGTCTCGACACTCAGCAGTAAGCACCAAGAGGCAAGAGTCTTCAGTCATCATCATCATCATCAGAAGGAAAATCAATAGGGCAAGCCTCATTATATGCATCACAGTTGAGGGCCATCATCATCAGAATCATCTCCCTCTTCAATATAACGCTCTTTCTCCTCTGTTTCTTCTGAATCTGCCTCTTCCTGCTCCTCTTCTTCTACCTTACTAGTATGTGCAGTCTGTGCAGATGAGGCCCTAGGAGTCTTGGCTGCTCTACCTTTCGTTTTGTGCTTCTTTGAACTCAAATATTGTATAATTTCCTCCTTGGTAGCCTCAGGAACATTTTTACACGGGGCAACTACCCCCGTAATACTAGCAAGGTGTTTTTTAAACCGATGAATGCCTCCATTAGTATCCTTTCCACAATAATTATATTTAATACGATTTTTATCACTTAGATTCGAGTTATAACCATACTTCCAATCCAAATCACCACTCCGACTAGAAACTGGAGAAGATACTTCCATAAAACAAGGCTTATTTTCATCCTTGTTTGGTTCTTCAAAATTCAAATGATGAATAATCTCATCTCGAACTTCTTCAGGAACTTTTGTACAAAAAGCAACATTACCTCTAACATCAGCAAGGTGTTTTTTGAATAGGCTAATACCCCCATTGGTATCTTTTTCACAAAAATTATACCTTATACAATTTTTATCATTTGGTTTTGGGTTGTACCCATACTTCCAACCCGAATTACTTTTTCTAAGAGTAGTAGAAATAAATCTATGACAAGGATTTTGTTATTGCTTTTGTTTTCCATAACTTAAAAATTGCTTGATCTCCTCCTTGATAGCTTCAGGAATATTTTTACAAGTAGCAACATCCCCCTTAATACCAACAAGATGTTTCTTAAACCGATTTATGCCTCCTTTTGTATCTTTTTCACTAAAATTGTATTCGAGTTGTATTCATTTGGATTCGAGTTGTATCCATATTTTCAACCTGGATGTCTACTCCGACTAACTCCTGAAGAAGACATCTTAAAATAAAATAAGCAATCTAAAATATGCACTTACTTTGGTTGCTTGAACTCCAAACTTTGAAAAACACTTCGATGATTTGATCCAATGAAATGTAGTTTTTGGAGGTTTCTGTTACTCTAAAAGGGGTTCTGGTGGATTTAGGTTTCAAATGAACCTAAAAGCCATCATTCTTAACTTTTATATCTTTGAAAAAAATGAAAAAAAAAAAAAGGTTTTCCTCCTCTGGGCGGGGCACAGGCCTTGAGCGGCTGCTCAGGACTGGGTGCTAGACGGCCCACCTAAGCGACCACCCAGGGAAGACCCCCCAGTTTGACCACCTAGGCTTGGGCGATGCGCCTAGGCCTTCTAGACCGCCTAGGCGCTGGGCGGTCTATTTTTTTGAACTATGCATCACCCTGACATCATCTCCACGTGTGGGGGACATGTGACTCCTCAAGCCAACACGTGGACACCCATTGACCATTTGGGTGTCTCGTGTGGGTCCCAGTGGACTGTTCTTGTTTGTCATTACATCTAAACAATTTCGAAAATCGAATTTTCTCGCTCAAAAAAATCCAGAAAAATCTACAAAATCTACAAAAATCTACAAAAATCATTTTAATGATTTTTCATCAAACTAAGTCCTTTTTGGCATTGCTTAAAAATACTTACAAGGGAAATTAAGATCCTTGGAGTTGAATTACTAAATTGAGCACTCCACTTAGCTAGACCCAAATTCTAGAGCCACCTTCTCGTTATGACCCAACAGACTCATGACCCACTGTGCACCTAAATTCCACAGTGTATAATCAATGGCTCATGATCTCATATTATCAAAGTCA